GTCGAACCCAGCCTGGGTTCCGTCGAACCCAGCAACTGGGTTCCGTCGAACCCAACAACTGGGTTCAATGACCCGAGGAAGAAGAGGAAGAAAGAAGAGGAAGGAAAAAAAAGAAAAAGAGAAAGGAAGAAGATGAACGTGAGTTATTTTATTTTATTTTTTAAAAATATAAATAGTAATAATGTGAGTTGGCATGAAAAAAAAATCCACATCAACACATTTTCAATTTGTTTTTGCCATGTCATCAAAAAAATTATAAAAAATGCCACATAAGCGAGTTAACGATCGAAATTAACAGAAGGACTAACGGAGTGCATTTCGTATAGTTGAGGGATCAAAAAAGTGCAAAAAATTATTGAGGGATCAAAAATGTTCATTTCATAAAGTCGAGGGACCAAATTAAGCATTTAACCTTCTTCTTTTTGGTTCATGCTCTAGTTGGGTGATCCAAATTATTGAGCATCTAGTAAGATGATTATAATCTGGAGGCAGGGAACTAGAGCAGGATAGAATTTCTAAGCATGTGTCTACATTGTAAAATGGCTCAGACAACCTTTGATTCAGTTTAAATTCAATGCACTTTAGAAGTTATTTTATTCTTGTTCTCTTGCAGAAACTTGTGGAAGCAGCGCATTGAAGATTTGGAAATTCTGTCTTCTCAAGTTCTCCATAGTAATAATGTGAAATGGCTGATCCTTTCAGGTATTGAGATCTCATTTTCTTCATTAGCAGATGATTCTGCATTCCAGTTTACCATTACCATTTTTTTACTAAATAATGTGCTACTTGACATGAGCGACAATTGCTTTGGTAAAAAATTAGCTTGTGTTGTAGACTTGCTGTTCATGATTTTTGGGGTCGTTGATCCATTTAGCCATTAATCTCTATATATTGTCTGATAATGGATGTCATCACTTTTTAACATCCAATACCAGTCAAGAGACGTCTTTACCATTGACCTGACTCAATCATTTTCATCTTATAGAGATCTTCAGTAAATTTAAATTCATAAGCATCCTGATTGAGGGAAGTGCATCGTCATCTACCGTGGAGAAAAGCCTATCCTTGATATTCAGTTACAATTGTGCTAAGAAGACACAACTAATTGTTCATCTTAAATCACGCAGGCATTTAGAGGTTCTACAGTTTGTTGATCACCTATAACTCGGACGACTCTGTTTCCTCCTTGTCTTCCACATCCGAGGTCAAATGACTCAAATCAGTATTTGCTACATTTATCTCTTGATTGTCCACAATCTTAGTATATTCTTGCATTTCATCTCTCCCAGCAACTTTTTCCTCTTCAGCATCCTGTTTGGTATCATGCTTGTCATATGCAGAATCCATGTCCATCCTTACCAGTGAGGTATTTTCATCTCTTTCTTCTTCTCTTTCCATCTTTCCTCACCAGGAAGTCTTCCCTCTTCCCTGCTTCTTGTCCTGTCTCTGGAAGATCTTCTCGTTGTTGCTACTCCATCTATTTCAGAATTTAAATTGTTCTCCGACAACCTATTTCTAGTTAGAATTTTCTCTCTTCCCCTCTGTTCTGCTTAAATGGGCATGTCCGCCTGCCATGCTTCCAAGGTTACCCCGTTCCACTCTCAGTGGTTGCCTGGAGCCCCTTATTTTGACCTCCTTTGTGATCTTCAAATTTTCCGGGCTCTCTAGTCACAGCAGCTTGATGTTCTTGCTTGTCTATGCCAATTACGGCCCTCAGAGATGTTTGAACCTATCTCTCTTCCTCGATAGCCCAAACTAGCTGTATGTTGAAAAGTTTTGTCGTTCACATCTTATCTGGCACCACCACTTCTAAAGTTTTCTTGCAAATTTTCCTGCTTCTGCAGCTTCCCTCCGTCCATTTACATTCTAGCACCATTACCAACCTTTCTCTCATTCCCTTAAACCCTTTCACTGCTCTGTTCCTCTTTTAATTCAGTAGATTTTTGCTCATTTCCAACTTCACCTTTGGCCGAGCTCATACCATCCATCGAACCAGTGGCTTCATGTATTTGGCCCCCAGCTTCATCCCTCGGATTGAGTGGTCTTTTCCTTCGGGTACAAACTTCCTCTAGATGTCAAATTTACCCCGATCGTTACTGCTTACTGATCAAACCTTAGTTAGGAGCTCAAACCGGTGCTTCAAATTCCCAATTTCCGACTCCTTTTGCTTCGAACTTCACGTTGCAGTCTTCACCTGAAGATTCTCATTTCCCATTTCTGTATTTTTCTCTCTCGGCATTTTGATCTCGTTCCGTTTCTCCTCCAACGCTGACTCTATCGTCTTCTGTTCATCTTTAAAAGAATCAATTATAGACTGCATCTCAAGGAGCCTCCGATCGAGCTCCATTCTCTCGTTCCGAAGAGAGTTTATATTTGCTTTCATATCTTCAGCCTTCCTCTTCATTTCTTTGCTGTGTTGTCTTTCCTTCTGTGTGTCAAAAGATTCTACGAAGCATTTACGAACACATCTTAACTGATTTTCTCTGGACTCTCTTTCTTTTCTTTTTTTTCGTTTTTCCATTTCTGATTTACATGCAGTTATTACTAGCAAGAGAATGCCTATATTTCACAACTTAATTTACCATAGAATCGAGCACAATGTGTTCCAAAAACTTCCGAATTGAAGATTTTTTTGGATGCTTAGAGATATGCGCGAATTATGATAGGAAAAAAGCAACTATTAACTAATGTATATTATAATCCCATACCATGGAGAGAATGATTGCTTCTGTATAGCATATCGCTATATATATATAATTAGGCTCTAAAAATGCGTGACATTTGTTTGTTTATATTATATTTTTGTAATAATTATTAAATATAATAATATTAATTTATAATTAAAATTAATTTTGATTAATAAATGTAAAAGTCATTTCAAACACATATTATTTCATTATAAACGAATATTTGACGTTTATAATAACTAAAATGTTTTGAGATGAATGTGACAGAGTAGTTAATTAAAATTCTCATTAGTTTCTTTGTCTTTGCATATATAATCATTACTATTATATATCTCTTTTTTACCTCAATTTGTCTCATCCCTTCTAAATGCTCATATTAGAAGTTTTTAAGTCCAAACATAAATGATATATCTCATTAGCATTATTAGTACTTTTTCATTTACCTATATTCCATGTTTCATTAATTCTTGTCACTCTATCATCTCTTAGCTTATCTTCATATATTTTATCATTATATTTATCTATTTATCTATATTTACTATTGCTTTTTCTCTATATATATATATTAATAATTGATTTGCTATTATTCCTTTTCACATTAACCTTCCACTATACTATTTTTTTAGTCACTCCTTGCACCTCTATCGATTGTTGTATATATACTTTTATTCTAATTCTTCCTCTTTCTTTATCTATATTAAACACATTTTAAATCAAAACATAAACGACATAATTTTTTAGTATTATTCCATTGGTAATTTTTTTACTTATGTACCTTTACCCATCTCTTATTATTTTTTCTTACGACACCATCTCTTAACTTACTATTGTACATTTTTCACTATATTTATTATTCTAAACTATATCTATCATCAATTTTCCTTTTTATATTAATAATTTATTTGTTATTATTCTTTCTCTCCTTATCCCACTCTCTATTATTCTTCCTTTGGAATCCTTCTTCATCTATCTTCATTTATTTTTTACCCAATTTTCCTCTTTCTATCTTTTAGCATATATTTTATATTTTCTCACTATTATAACAATATATAAATTTCATAAAATTAGAAATAATTAAGTAATACACGCAATAAATTTATATACATATCTACATTATAAATTTTACGTAATTTTTCTCTTTATGTTAGTAATTTGTTCATTATTATTCCTTCTTCCATTGTTCTCTTGTTTCTATTATTCTTTCTTGGTCATTCTTTTAAATCTCTATCTATCAAATATATCTTCTTTTTCTTTTTATTCTAATTTTTCCTCTTTGAACTTTTTTACTTACCTATGTTTCACATTTTATCAATTTTCCTTAGAACTCCTTTTAACTTATTCTCTCATATTTTATTATTATATTTATCCATTTATTTTACATTTTTTATCAGCATCTATTTACTTTATATTCATTTTCATTTTTCTCTCTCCATATTAATAATTTATTGGTTATTAATTTTTCTCTCATGATCTTTATTCCCTCAATTTTATTCTTTCGCATTCATTAATTGCATCTATATTTATTATTATATATCATTTTTACCCCAATTTCGCCCTCTCCCTCTTTCTCTCCCTTATTTTGTGTATATTAGAATTGTTTAACTTTTTATCTTAATGAATATATTTAAAACTTGTAAGGGCTCTTATTTCACCATTTTTATAATTTTTTGATAACTTAGATTTTTGAGAAAGAAAATATTAAAGCAGTTTTAAGTTTGTCACAGGGACTTTCTTTTTAATTTAGGTTCCTTCTAAGTTTATTTTCATACTTTCTAGTTATGTTAAGATGGTTCGTTTATAATTTTTTTTTTTTGTATTTTTTAAATTGGTTTTTCAGGTTGGTACACATCAATGATATGTACTACAATTTGTAATTATTTATAATTCTTGAAATTTTAGTAATCGTTATTCAAATGTATGTTTATTTAGAATTATTTACATCTTAATTATTAGGAAAATGATTTGTATATTTTTCAATTTAACACATTTTTGGACATCCATCTTATTCAACGATTAAAATATAATATGAGAGTATCCAATTTAGTCAATTTCTACATTCTATATGTATAACTACATTTTTAAATCTAAACTAAAAAGTAATACTTTTTTAATTAGTATGTATTTTTTTTTTATCAGCAAAATAATATATTAAAATTATATGGAATACAAGGGGTACTCCAACCCTTCTACAAAAGTAAAAACTACATACAGCAGAAATTTAAAACCATAAAGTACTCATACAGCAGCCAATTCCAAAAAACAAAAACATGTGATCTGCACCTAATCATTCCTACCATTTGTATTCATACGGTACTCCTTCAGCATGCTTTTGTTCTTTCTTATAGCTGCAGCAGTCTCCACCGGATTGATCTTCCAATCAACCAGCAAAAAAACACAGCCCTACAAGTAATTTTTAATCCAGAAGAAAGTCTTGGCCTGTATCATCTCCACCAAGTCATCCCTTTGAACCACATTTCCTTTAAACACTCTACAATTTCTCCAATACCATACATACCAGGAAGTAACAAGGAAAATGCAAGATGCCAATTCCTTTCCTATCACCTTACCCAATCCAAACAAGAAAAATTCTGCTACTCCCCTCACTACATTCGGCAACACAGTCTCCATTCCCCACCAAGACAACACCCTTACCCATATTAGCCATGCTTCCTGACATGTGCAAAAAACATGATTACCATCTTCTATCCCCTCATTACACAGCCCACACCCCAAACCCCCCTCCAAAACCACTTCTCTCTTTTGCAAGTTCCACTTTGTTGGAAGATGATCAAGGCATAATCGCCATCCAAAAAACTAACTTTATCAGGTACTAATTGACACCAAATTAACTTACATAATTGATCACTCAGAATGTATTTTGTTGATGCTAGAAATTCATAAGCATTTTTTACCACATACTTCCCATCTGAACCATGCACCCAATGCCAACAATCATCAGTACCTGCCTTTATTTGAACTCTATTTACATTCTCCCATAACACCAGCTCCTCATCCTGCTCCCTACCCAATCGCCCCCTCCTCCAAGCTATATTCCATCTCCAACAACCTTCCTCCCAACCCCCCATCTCACTAGCTAAACTGTCCTTTTTTACTGCCAACTCAAATAATCGAGGACATAAATCTCTCAAAGGCTTTTCCCCTATCCAAACCTCTCTCCAGAAACATACCCGACTACCATCCCCCACCTCCCATTTAAAGCCATTCACCAACATATTCTTTAAACTAGTAGAGCGCAAACCAATACTAATAACATCTCTCCAAATCCTAGACACTTGAACCGTATCTACTGCTGTAATATCTACTTCCTCCCTTCCACCATAATACTTCTCCCACACCACTTGTTTCCACAATCCCTCTGCTCCATCACCTAGTCTAAACCACCACTTCCCTAAAAGTGCCCAATTTTTACGACGCAAATCCGACACACCAAGACCTCCCTTCCTCTTACTAGTGCACACATAATCCCACTTAACCCATGGAATCTTCCTCTTTAATTCCACCCCACCCCACAAAAAGGACCTCTAAAGACTAATCAACTTAGCAACCACCCAATTTGGCATTAAGAATAAAGACATGTAAAAAATAGGAAGAGCAGAGATTATTGAGTTAAGTAAAGTGATGCGACCACCAACAGACAATGCAACAAACTTCCAGGCAGCCAGCTTAACTCGGAATTTATTTATAACCGGATCCCACGTTTTGCTACTCCCATTCTCCCCCCCAACAGGCATTTCCAAATACATTAAAGGGATTTTCCCTATTTCACAATGCATAACACTTGTTGCCCCTTGAATCCACCGTTGAGACACATTTAAACTAGAAACACTACTTTTACTGAAGTTGATCCTCAACCCAGACATTAGCTCAAACCATCTTAAAATGGTTTTGACCATGAAAATTAGTATGTTATTGTCATAACTCAAATTTTTAGTAAATAAATATTTATTTA